AGGGCACGGGGGGGCTCATATGGGGAGAGGCGGTCCCTGAGATAAGTTACTGTGATATCTTGTAAAATGTTACAAAATATTTTGTCACAAACAAAAAGGCCAGCACAGTAAAGCTTAGGTTCATTAGATGTCATCCAAGGAAAAATAGGTCTACTTAACTGCACAGTTAAAATGTTAAAGTAATACTACAGTGGAGTGATGTGTTCACATATTTAAAGCAAAGGCAGGCAACTATTGTGGTGCTGTGGACTGCTTTTGGGGTTAGGCCTATCTTTGAGGGCTACAGCCCAGATGGGAAGAAGTGGAGTTTAGTGGGCTTTTAAAATAAAAAATGAAGAAGAGTACTTTTACATGTATATTTTGCTTTATTTAAAGTTCATTATGAACAAATAAAGCCTCACATACTTGATAAATTAGCATTTGCAAACATTAATTTCATTATTAACAAATTTTCCCCATTTCCTCATACTTATTATTACATTTACATTTATTTATAAATAAATATACATTTAGTATTGGACTACGGCTAGGGAGACCAGGGTTTGACTCCCCACTGGCCATGGAAATTCATTGGGTGACCTTAGACAGGTCACACTCTCTCAACATCAGAGGAAGGCAACAGCAAACCTCCTCTGAACAAATATTGTCAAGAAAACCCCATGATAGGTTCACCATAGGGTAGCCATAAGTTGGAAACAACTTAAAAAAAACACAACAAATAAATAAATATAAATAAAACTTATACATAAGACTTAAATTGACTTTAAAATGATATTGACCATTAAGCATATTCTCTATGATATTCATGATCCTGCTGATTATAACAATGGAAAAGTTGATATCATATTCTATATCATTCCTTTCCTCCCTGGCTACAGGGTATTTAGTGGTTTGCTGCAGAATTTCAGTGCTAAACTACAATGGCATTTTTTGCAGGAAAAAAAAATTGAGCCCAGGAAGGGGCATACTTTTCCCACACCTGGTTTAAAGGGCTAAATGCACATTTCTCTCTCTTGTTATCCTTTTAATAACCCTGCAACATACAACATCATTGTTCTTCCAGTGCTGAAACACTGAGTGCTGCCACGTGGCAACAGAAAGGTATGAACAAAAATATTCCAGATTTGTAGTTAGTTAGATGGACCATTATAGTTCGTCAGTAATCTTTTATAAAACAGAAGCATATGTAACCTTTTCAGGTATAGACTTTAACAGTATACAATGCAGTATATGGATATTGAGAAGTCAGCCCAAACTTAATTGAACAGAATAATGTGTCTGTTAAAGGCAATTTTCCAGCACTGTGGAGGCTGGGGTGAGTATAGTAGGCCTTAACACATGTTAAATGGATAGGGTTTGTTACTGGTGGTGGTGTGGTAACTGATACTACAAACAGCTAGTAAATCTCCAGCTACTTCCCTCCTAATGAAACTGAACACAATAATTGTTATGCTCCCAGATCATCTCACTACTTCGAGAAGTGGGGATGAGATATCACAGCTTTAGCTTCCTGAAAACAGTTACAGGTAAGTAAATTAACAGGTGAAGTGAAGGCACAAACACACACCAATAGTGAAATAATCATCCAGAGGAAGAGTAAATGCTTTTGCCAAGAGATAAAAAAAAATCATAATTCAAATGCTAGTGACAATGCCAAGGAGGATAAGTGTGGGAGTGTTGGACTATGATTCTGGGACAGAGTTTGAATCCCTACTCAGGCATGGAAACCCACTGGTGACCTTGGGCAAGTCACACTCTCGTGAAAAGACAAGTACTTTTAGTGATGGTATTGTTGTGTGTCTTTAAGTCATTTCTGACTTACGGTAACCCTAAGGCAAACCTATTACAGGGTTTTCTTGGCAAGTTTCTTCTGAGAGGGTTTGCCATTGCCATCCTCTGAGGCTGAGGGAGTGTGGCTTGCCTAACATAACCCAGTGGATTTACATGGCCAAGCCGGGATTTGCACCCTGGTCTTCAGAGTCATAGTTCAATGCTCAAACCACTATACTACTTACACATTGATTAAAGGCAACAAGAACATTCGACATGGAACAAATATTTCCACCCTGAGTTCCATTTTATTAATAAAGTGCTGCAAGACATACTGCTTTTATCAATGGCTTTATTTTGCTAAAATATCCCCCGCTCCACCAAGCTTTATCAAGTCAACAAATCTGATCCAACATATATTGAGTACTACATCTTGAATCATGATGATAGTAACACAAAGAGCACCTTTCAAATTTGGATGCAGGCATTTGCATGGGCGGTGCAGCGGCAGCAGCGGTGGTGGGGCCGAGAGAGGCACGGGCAGAGGCTCAAAAGCCCATCCAACCACCACCACCACCACTCGGCGGCGTGGCAGCATCAGCAGGGGTTGTGGGGCCAAAAGAAGCCTGGATGGAAGCTCAAAAGCCCACCCAACCACCACCACCACTTGGCGGCGCAGCGACAGCTGTGGTGGCAAGGCCGAGAGAGGCCTGGGCAGAGTGTTGCAGCCCACCCAATCACCACCACCACTCGGCAGCAGGGCAGTAGCAGTGGCAGTGGGGCCAGGAGAGACTCAAGTGGAGCCCACCCATTCCCTTGCCTCAACAGGGGCAGCAGTGGCAAGCCCGAGAACCGGGTTCTGGGCGGGAGTTTTCATCCAGCCCGCCCAGTCCTTCCACCACCAGCAGCAGCCATGGCACTGATGCCAGGAGCTGGGCTGACAACCAGGACTGGGCAGAGACTTCTCAGGCCACCCCCCCCACCTTCTGCTTTTAACAGCAAATAGACTCCCCCCACCCCCGAGCTGGCCACCAAGGGTCTTCCTCTTTCTGAATGGCTGGGATAATGTGGGGAAGTAAGTTATTTTGGCTCCTTTAACATCTCCTCCTTTTATAGTGGCCAGGAATGATTTGGGAATGGAAATTGAGGTTGTGCGGGCAAAGGAAAGATATGGCAGCAACAGAGTGAAGGGCTGTTACAAAAGAAGGTGGGATTGATGTTTGAAAGCTATCCTGCCTTCAGTTCACTCTGTTTCCCAGAATGGTTTGGAGAACGCATCAATCATTCCACAGAATCTTACCTTGCTCCTTTACAATGTCAGGTCAGTTAAAAATAAGACCCATATTATTTATGACCACCTCATAGATGAGGATGCCGAACTGGCTTGCTTTACAGAGACCTGGCTGGGAGAGGATAGCACTACTACGTGGACGCAGGCTCTGTCAGTGAGCAGGTATGGGGAAGTGGGCATGGGGGTGGAGTGGTTCTGGTTCACAAGAACAACCTAACCTTGACCGGGATACCTGTCTGGAACACAGTCCACTTCGAGTGTATGTACCTGAGCCTGAGAGCCAAGGATAGTTTGGGGATTCTGCTAGTATACCTACCACCCCGTTGTCTAGCAGACTTCCTAACTGAGCTGACACAGCTGGTCTCAGAACTGTTGCTGGAGTCACCCAGACTTTTAGTTTTGGGTGACTTCAACATTCCACTCAAGACCAGTTTGTCAAATCTAACAGATGCGGCTTGGGAGTTCATGGAATCCGTGACAAACATGGACCTATCCCAATTGGTCGTCGGACCCACTCATTGTGCGGGTCATACCTTCGATGCTGTCTTCAGTACGGAACAGGAAGATCCGTGGGCGGAGATAATAAATACCTCCGCATTGTCATGGACAGATCAGTTCCTGATCAAGGCTGAACTAAGAACCACTGTTGACCCCACCGGGGGTGGTGAACCCATTAGAATGGTCTGCCCTCAAAGGCTAATGGAACCTATTGGATTCCAGAAAGCCTTGGAGGGTTTAATGGTTGGTAATACCGGTGATTCTGTCGAAGCCCTGGTGAATACCTGGAATACTGATCTCGCCAAGGCTATTGGCACAATTGCTCCCAAGCGTCCTTTCCAACCCACTTCAAACCGGAAGGAAGCCTTGGTATACGGAAGAGCTTAGGAAGATGAAGTGGGTTGGACAACGATTGGAGCGCGCCTGGTGGAGAACTCAACTCTTATCTGACAAGACTCATCATAGGAACTT